CTGTTAGTTTTTTAGCCATCAGAATTCAACGGGTTACACAGGCTGGGTATTCGCTCGTCTATAGATTGAGAAAGTACAGTTTCCGTAAGATTCAGAAATTCCCTGAAACTAAAACAATGGTCCGCTGAAATTTCTCTCGATGCCCCCTGGAATGGTCACACAGTACAATTTGGTCCGTCCCTCATTCAAGCCGGATATATTGTCCTGAAACTCACAATAGTAAAATTTAAACTTACGAGAGAGAGAGTTTTGATTCTCCTCAGCCTGACAGTATCAGACAGCGCAATTCGCTTTTGGTTATTTCCTGCTCTCTCAAGAGGACACGTGAGAGTAAACGCGAGCGATATTCATTCTCTAATATTCTCTCCGTACTTTATTAGTAAACCAGAGAATTATAATTCCCGAACAACTCTGAAAGTCAAATAACTCACCCGAACCTAAGTCTTCCTTATTGCTGATCTGTGTGGTACCGTGACGAGTTATATTCCAGACACCAAATGCGCTTGAGTATAACGCTGTATGGCTTTTGAATTTGCGGGCTCACCATATAGCCTAGATGTGCGAAAATGAATTCACGGAAAATAAATAAAGTCCCGAAAATTAAGAGATCGAAGATATTTATTACAGTGAGTCACATGACAATCCACACAAAAAAAAATATCCTGCAACATTGCTTTTTTTACTGGGTGAGGGAAAATTATGGCTTACATTGATTCCTAGGTAGTATGTTCCGGGCCGTTCCCTTTTTGGCTCGTCCCCACTGACAGAGAGCCTGGCTCAGGGTATCGTATAAGCGCAAGGTCCCGCTTATGGTTTTTTAACGGGATTGCAATAGTCAATAGGATGCGTATTTATGACGTGACGGGAAAGCGAACCGAAATACTGTTGAAATAACGCATTCTATGAATTTTTTTAGCGTCAACTCTGTACTCGAGAAACTTTGTTTTTTTTTTACTGGAGCTCCTACTTTACTTTAACCGTCATTTCAGAATATAAACAACCGCTTCCTGGTCTTGCCACGCAATACGAATTTGAGACGAAAAAGTTGAGAAGTAAGTATTATCATCACAATAATTGTTATCATTGGGTATTATTCAAATCAAAAGACAGAGCATTTTAGCAGAGAAGGGATTAGGGAGTTTCGGTGTCAACTCTCCCGGATTATCGACGGCATCCCGGATATGGAATTTTTCGGGATACGGAGCGAATCTTTCGGTCTCCCACATAACTCGCTAATCTATTGGATTAACGTTAATTGGATTTTTTGCCTTTAAAAAGGGAAATACATCAGTCATAAAAAATTGGGCACTCTAATCAAAGTAAGTTTCTTTTTAGGTTGGATAATGTGCCAATTCGTCTGAAAGGGGTTAAGAGCCGGGTCGCACTAAAGCGAATTAAATATTTCCCAATTTTACGCCAGCCAAAATATCGGCAAAAATTTTGCGATTTCCAATTTTTGGCGGCGGTCGCATCAAATTAGTATCCTCTGGCCAAAACTTCATTGATTGACACACACGTCAATCACAAACCCATCTTCCTCTATTAAAGATAAGGAAAATTTCCCGCTCGAATTACTGGGCAAGAAAGGACTGGGGTCGAATGATTATCTTCGCGGCTCTGCGGGTTTTTTCGTAGCGTTTTCTGTATTGTAAGTACATTATCAACAAGCTTCTATGCGGCCAGTCTCATCCTTTAGACGAAGAAGACGAAGAAGACGAAGACTTCACTTAAATAGAGCTCGCTTTCGAAACCGTCCTTAATTTAGGTCTTCCCAACGACCAGCGGTTAGACCATGTACCGTACTTCGCTTGGTTGCAGCTTGCACCACTTGTGCTAGCTTCGATAATTCCAATGGAAGGAGAGTACTCGTTGAAGCCGATCGTTCTCCAAATTGCCGCCATGCAATGACCGGGCCAGGGTACGAGTCATAGACATTCGAATAAAAACTTGGCTCTAATTCCTCGCTTCCCAGAGGAAAACTGAGGGCCAGATGGACAACGAAAAAATTGTTGTGTCCTGCCATCGCGCGCGCCAAACTACACTATCGGACCAAAGTTTATTCCCGCTTAAATTGCAACTAGACATGTCTTGCGAACGATGACAGCTAACTAGTTGGAAAAACAAGAAGCAGAATATCGGCTCCTTTGAGGATTGGCGAAATTTTGGCGATCCGCAAAATTTGGCAAGGTCGCACTTACTTTACGCTACTTGTTGACAGATTTTTCGCTTAAACAAACAAAAGAAGCTCTAGTACGGCCCGGGCCTCAGTCATAAGCTTGGATATTTTTATCAGCGTTGAGTGGAAGTTGATAAGTTCAACAAGAACCGGAAGTCAAAGAAACTGTTGCATCACAGTTCAACTGAATTAAGATATACCTTATTTCTTTCTCTTCTAAGCAAGACGTCGGAAACGCTAACGCTCTATACCGATTTCTTTTCAATCATTTGTCAGCGGCCTTTTCTATAGGCCCAAGAGAACTAATGTCCAAATGTAACGTCAGCCGTAGCCTGCAAAACAGGCGTAATTTTTTTTGAGTTTCACAGGCGAACGAAACAAGCGCTAGGCGAGCGCGAAGCGCGAAAAAATTGCGCCTTTTCTCTGAGTATGATACTAACAAAATACCATTACGTTTCGTTTCATTTTTCCTTCTTCACTGCTTAAAGAGCGCTTTAACGCTCGGTTCATTCCTTTTGTTCCTGGAAGATGAGGAAGTTGGCCCGGGCCAACCTCTGCTGTCAATCAATGTAAAAACTTCCTCATATTTTTGTGTAATCTCATTCAGCGTGCACATCACCGGAAGTTAAAGCATGTTTTTGGTCAGCTGTTCTTCTTGAAATATTCGTTCTCCGGTGTTCGTATACTCCTCTTCGAAACTCTGGCCGTTGTTTATTCTCGTCTGCGGTTCCTATTGTGTTAAACAATCGACTCTTTTATAATAAGAGTTACGAGTGAGTCCACAGTTCATTCGTTGCCGGAAGTTTAAACTAATGTGAACCATCCATCGGCCACGTGGAGTCCAACAGATTAATCAAGGAATGTTATTGATTGTTTAAAGTTAATTCCACATGTCTTAAACGCGCAAATGATGTATTGATAGGCTCGCATTCCTTATGATTTAACATAGTAAAGTTGGTCTACCACAAACCAAACAGGAAAATTGCTTGAGATGATTTTAAAGAAAACAGAACTTTAAGCCCATGCGGAGCATAATTGGCAATGAAAGAGTTTTCCGCTCTCACGGTTGATTTCGCTAGTGGGAAGGGGGGAGGGGTAAGGGGGGACTAGATAGTCTCTCTCAGAAAACCAATTTTTCAGACCCACTTTATTTACTTTACATTCTATAACTTACACGTATATATTATTTTTATTAGTATATAACTTTAATATTCCAAACCACCCTCACCTCGAGCTGATCGGGCCGCCCCAGTCCCTCTTGAGTGACACACGGTCCCAAACAAATATAACCCGTCCGGTATGCTTCTATTAATAACGTAAACTCGGTGACTCAGAACGGCATGCCTGTTTGTATTGTGTGTCTGTGAGCAGCTTCGAAGTTCTACGCAAACAGATTCTCCCAAAAATACCCGCTTTTGGTGAGTAGCCTTTTAAAGATACTTCTTCAATAATTCAAAGCGGTTTATTAATATTTGAACATGGGACTGATTCTGTTCCCCGTTAGATTCGCTTGCGAACCGAGCAGGACTTTATTTCCGCTGAAACCGGAGAATGAGATCGTGTCTGTGTTGAGTGTTTACCGAACTATTCCCGTTTGAAGCTTATCTATTTCTAGACACCTTTTTTGTACTTGGTTCTTTCTGATATCATAACATCGGCCAGTCTAATCATTGAGTTCTTCAGCTTGTTCTAGTATGGCGCTGTTTCGTGTTTTCGGATAACAGGCCAGCATCACGGAATCACATTCCGCTACTACGAAGAAATGAACCGAGTTCTTGATTTGGACACAATTGTTTAGCCTAAAATTACTTTGTGTGTATTTTCGTCATCTGTTGCCATTACGAGAATAACATTTTCGCTTGGTGAAACCTTTAGATGATGAAACAAAATGTGTCTTAGTTACTTTGCGCCACGATGCAAATCTATGTGTCTTCAGGCGAAACCATGCATAGTTTTTCGCAGCATTCCGCATGAAATCAGCGCGCAGTAAGATCAAGGTCACTCTCCATGTGAAGTCGCCGTTATTTCGTTGTGGTGACTGTTAAATAAGAGCGCATTTTTATCATAACTGTGATGTAGCAGGAAATTACTGATTCATTTGAAGCAGAGTATTTTGAAGCGTGATTTGAATTTCGTAATTAATCTCGCTTTAGGGCTGATATCAGAGACGAGCGACAGATCGCTAAGTTCCGCTGGACTTTGTGTCGTTCAGTTGCTCAATAAGAGCTGATTGTCAATTGCGTAATAGACACTATTAATTGTCTTGGGATGTTCTATTGTGTCGCAATGTTTTATACTTTGTTTAATAAGGCAGCTTTGGTTAAACACATCTTGGCTGCCATTTTGTTGTTTTTCTCGATTCGCTTACACAGTGTGAATTCAAGATCAGTCAGCTTTTCTGTTTCATAAGTCATGCGTCAGGTCATGTGGACACTATATTCTGATTACACGTCAAACACTAATCATGAATAAAGAGGTTGCCCTCGACAACAGTAAGTGTTCTGGAGGTTTCCGGTGAATTAGTCACGGTCTTAGTTTGCGATAAAATCTATGGGTAGTCTGTCGCTTAGGAAAACCCCTACTTTTTCGATCTATCTATCAATCTTATTTTAACGTAAAATGGGAAATGAGGCTTGACGAATCAGAAAATACGGTTTGGTTTTCATCGCTTATTTGTTCTCGCGCGTAACCTTCCCTTGACCCCCACCCACCTACCCACATGACCCAACGCAGTGCTTTGCTTTGTGTCACGCATCGAATTCATTGAGTTAGGAGGCGTGTCATTCCTAGAAGGTACGTTTCTGTTCTTCTGTCGCTTTACTTTCAATACACAGCTCTTTTTGTTTCCTTAAACAGCGTCTGGACTCAAATATCGTTTAGCTTGATTTATATGACGAAGGTCCTGAACATACTAGTGTGATTTGATCGGGAGGTTGTGTTCGATCCACACTGATTATGTTGAAATACCTCAAATGTGGAATGATCACAGAAATAGAGATCTCGTTTTAAAACTGGACAAGTTGGTAATTGAGACACGAAAACAACCCTCCATAAAGGTTGGTAGAGCGATTTCATTAATAGGTTTTTTTTAATTTTTCGAATACCTCAGATTCAGATGGTATTTATTAGATCGAAGGTTAGTTAATAAAACCTTTACAGAAGATGTTTTGAGTTCAGTCTCCAGGCTGAAGGCACGGAATCACATTCCTGTAGTAAGGGATCGAGGAGCATGAAGCAGTGCACTGCAATCAAGAACTTTACAATTGTAGTAGTAGTTGTCATCTAAAAGTTGTCTTTTTGCCCTGGGTTTGTGACCAGCGCGTGTAGTAATATTATCATGCAAAATATGCAAAATATTGATGCGCATGAATGCTAATTCCACGTGGATGTGAATAATAATCTCTCTGTTTAGTTTACACAATAATGTCGTTGTTATGCAATCACGTTTTATTCCCTTACCGGATTTTATGACCAGACTGCACTAGTAAAGCTATAATTGGACAATTTCGTTGGTTTCTAAACGCGGCAGATTTATCTGTGAAAGTATCAGCACGTGAGAGACAATGACGCGGCAGAATCTAGGGTTCGAACGTGCTGTTGTTAATGCTTGAATTGAACAAGGATTATCCACTTGTAGAACGTCTTTTAATAACCTCTACGTCTTGAGGACGTAAAATTTTGTTTTCAGTTGATTTTAATAGCTGGAATTTCCAAAGTAGACCTATATTTTGATTTAAATAAAGAAATGAGCACAAACGTTCTGCCCTCTCAAGTTTCCTTTGACCCGGAATCCTATGAGTTTATCTGGATTAGCCGGAAAAAATGTCATAGATTTCGTTTTCGTAAAGAAAGGAAAAATCTAGAATCGGAACTTACGTGTTGCGATCTGAAGAATTTGCATAGCGGAATTTGTAATTATTTTTGTTTAAACACAGCTGAAATTTAAGCAGCACGTAGTGCTAGGTTCCGTCGTCATGTCTTTCAGTTGACTGTCGAACTTGTTAACTTACAACTTTTTGGTTTAAACTAAATTGTGAGTATTTCCTTCCCTACGCTGAGCGGAATATATGCTGTATATAAGATCTATGATATTAGAGCGGTTAATTTACGAGCGCATTATCTTAAAAATAATATGTGACCGCAAAGCGGAACTCATATTACAACACTGCGTGCCCGGATTTTACCACTGGTTTCCACAGGTCAGTTCGCACTTACCACATCACCAGAGCGATAAAAAGGAGGTCACGCAATGATCATGCAGACTGGAAATTTTAAGCGGAGGTTTTCAACGAGATTGCATTTCATTTATCTTTCCCTGTGACGTAAAAAGAATAGAAGTCTCCTGTGCTAGGCGCTCATATTAAAAAAAAAAAAAAAAAAAAAAAAAAAAAGGAAAAAGTTCTGTTAAGTTGATAAGATGTGTAAAGTACAAAATTTGTTGATTTGAGATTGATAACCTGCATTGAAAACAAGTCCCAATGACATCAATACGTACCGAAAATTCAAAGTAAAATAGGCATAAGTGGCTAAGTTACTTTAAACAAAGCTATCGTACTGAATGTCACACAGACAAAAAGAGCTTGATAACTTCAAAGAGATTAAAAATCCTTGGGACTTACAACACGATAGCGTTAATAAGAACGAAGAACCATCTTATATTTACGTCATAATTCTATTTTCATTTTCATCGTATTGGTGCCGTTGTCACAAAAGAAATGCGTGAAGACGGTGAAAGGAAGACATAACTGTGAGACATAACCGTGAGACATCGTTACTGCTTGGAATGTTTTTGTTCACTCGACTAAGAAGGTCAGGAGTTTCTGTTTACAGATAAAATACTAATTCTAGGTACGAGTGCCAGTATATTTCTCAAAACATAGTTGGGGAGAATTCAGTCTTGAACCGGAAATGGCCGTATCGATATAGGTGAATTTATCTTTGTATAGGATATAAGAAAATGAACTTTGTTATATTATGTCTACCGCTGCAAGTATCAGTCACGAGCGTGGGAAAAAAAAATTTAAGCATCCCACGAGGATTCGAAACTTAGACCTGATTTCGCGTAGGATGCTCTACCAACTGAGATACAAATGTAGAGGAAATTTGTCGTTGAGCTAAAGCTATGTGCTAGGTTCGATTGTGATAGCAGCTGGCATACTGCTACGATTAGCAAGGGCGACACCGTCTAGTGAGGAGATAGGAAAGAAAGAAAGTAAATTTTGAGCTCGGTCGTATGCGTTGATTGACCGACTTTTGATTTACTACAACTAGTTACAATGCCTCCTTTTCCCTATGCCTTACTTCATTAATCGAAATCAGTAAACTTGGCTCGCATTCAGAAAAAAAGGACCCGTTAAAGCTTCTTGAATTGTGCAGAGGTCTCACATTTATTCCTAATAGAACACATACATATGTCATGCAAGGTAGAAAAAAATCTTTGGTTATCGAGAGGCTAATCACATGCTTATATCTCAAGAGTGACCCTTCGCTCTGGCGCTTCCGGCTAAAACTGAAAGAATATTTTTATATTATTGCGACGAAACGGAAAAAAAGATCGACACCTCTGTTTTGACTTCTACTAAAATGAACAATTGCTTGAGATAAAAACACTCGAAAATGAAACGATTATTTACGTCCGCAGTCACTATTTCGTTTTTCAATGGCCAAGAATGAGCTTCAGTTTTCTTGCCAGTGTAACGAAATGACTCAATAATTGTGAGAGAAAACCTTTATTGCAAGTTACACACAAGGCCAATCAATTGAATGTTTGAAGTTTACTGATCTTTTATTTCTGTGGCTTTCTTGCTCTCTTTCCAGTTGGACCCGTGATCACCACAGCCCAAAACTAGTTTCCAAAGAGCTATGCCGAAGTATTCACCGCATACAGCAAGTTAAGTGTTCACGTTTCTTTGGCACTCTGAGGAAAATACTGAACTGTTTTTGGCTGATATGTATTCACTACACGACATTACAAGCGTTTGTCCAAAATTGGAGCCGCTGGCTTCTGACGAATCTTGCTGTCGCGAAGAAGAAAGTTTAAGATTGATGAATCACGCTAATGGACAGATGGAAACACTCGTACGTGTTTCTGCTGAGAACAACAACGGTTTAATGATGGAATCGGGCCAGTTGGATGTATATGGAAAGACACCTTGTGTGGAAATGAGTGTGTACGAGGGAATAACGACCAACAACACGATCGCTTACGAAGTGAAATCGATGGCAACCGTCGTGAAAACGCTGCCTGCTGATGCCTACCATGGGAATGCTTCGGGCCAAATGTCTTATGCAACGGTCAAGATTCCTTACGAAATCAAATCGATTGGAACTATCGAGAAACCGATTCCTTTCGGAAGCAAGCCTAATGGAATCGAGAAATCGCGGCCAGATGAAGCTTACCATTCGAATACTTGTGGGCAAAGATCTAACGGGGCGATAAAGATTCCATACGAAATCAAATCGATTGGTTCTATCGAGAAGCCACTTCTGCCAGAGGATTCGTATCCCACGAGTGTCTCCGAGGAGATGCCCCATGGAAAAATTTTGAACGTGTACACGGTTCCAGTTTACGAAAACGGTGGCAGTCATGAAGTTTACTATTATCCCATGGAGAGTGATACCCAAGAAGGAGGAGCAATTTCACAGACCTCCCAAGCTGGGACTCCTGTTAGTTATGTTTACGACAGTGGCTATGACCCCTGCGAAAGAACCCGGAGCAAACCAGAAGTGACACCTTCACCAGCGGGACTGGCCGCTTACCAGTCGAGTACTTACGGGACAATTCCGCGTGATCAATTGGGTCCTGATAGATTGTCACCACCATACGATGTGCTTAATCAAGAAAAGGCACCAGGTCTCCAAATGAATACCTTCAGGGGTACCCACAGGGCCTTGACCCCGTATGAGATAGGAGCTCAGCCAAGACCCAGTTGTAATTGTTCTTGTCATCATTCCGATCCAGGTTCCTCTCATTTTCCCGCCTTTGGTTTGAGAAATGAACGTCCTTCTGTCATCATGGTTCCTGCAACATGGAATGGTGAGGTCATGAGCGATGCAGCAGGCAAGGTGAGCTGTGACATATCTGGGTTTTTATGTCTTTCTTTTAATGTTTTGTTTTGCTACCATTATCTTTGAAATATTCTTACCAAATGCATTTTACTGTAGTCTGTAGTTTTATTTTCCATCTATTAAATATAACTTTTGTTGTTGCCATTTTTTAGTGATAACAACAACAAAAGTAACAGAAACCGTAACCACAACAATAACAGCGATAACACTAAGAACATCAAAAAACAGCAACAACAAGAGCAATAATTATAAAAATAATAATAATATCAGTAATGATAATGATGATCAATAGAGGTAATACTATTCATGGCAAAAAAATAGACTTGGTATTATTTTTCAAACAGTTTGAATCCACCGCCCATGGAATCAGACAGGATCTGCAACAGAAAGAATACCATGAATTGGTAGGTTTTGCCGTTGTCAGTCGTACTCGATAAAAATTGATTATGATAATTGTTAGCTTTATTCAAGCGTTGGATGTTGTCCTTGATTAGCATAGCGTCAAAAGTCAGACGTGTGAATCAAGTGAGGCCAGGTATGCTACGAAAATTTAGTTTTCCGAGCTTTTGCCGATCTACGGCATCATCAGGGAATTTAGATGGAATCTTTGCAGTGAAGAGTATATCGGGTGAAGTGTTAGGCTAAATAATAGGGGTTCGGCAGATTAAAGGACAGGACGATGGCAAGTATGTAAATGCAGAAGAAATACTTAGAACAAAAGGTCTATGCAGAAAATAAATATAGTCAGGGTAAATAATGTAGTCAGAATAAAAGTAACCTTGGTTTTTCGTTTTCATAGGACGATTCTGACTCATCAGATGATGGCGATGAAGATGGTAAACATGAAAAGTATTTCCGCAAGAATATCGACGGAACTACGGCGAGATTTAAGCTGTCCAAAGAAGACTGGAAGAGGATTCCAATCAACACATTCCCCAGCGGTGGCCGATTATTGAGTGGCGACTGGACACGAATCTTCCTTAGCAAAGTCAAAGAAAGCAACCCATGGTGCAGTTTGCGCTTCAAGAATAATCACGTAAGATCAGAAAACTCTCGCAAAATCCACTCAGCGGTGTTCTTCAGAGGAGGTGCAGAATGCAAGCGACCAGAGTGTAACGTGAAGGTGCGATTTGTGATCCGAAAAGAAAAAGGAAAACACGTGGAGGTGACATACGTCGGAAATGTTTGTCACAACAGTCAGCCAGGTGGTGGTGACGTCATAACTGACAAGAGAAAGAAGCGTTGTGTTCGCCGGCCAAAGTTTACGTCCAGTCTGGATGACTGAACTTTACTTTCATAACGAAACAATAACTGTTAAAAAAGAGTGAGTAATACTACTGACTGCTTAAGAGGCTGGTATGCTGCGTCCGCAGGCATGCAAAACGTTCCAGTGATTGACTATTAGAAGGTTGCAACTAGTCCGCTCGAATCGTAATCTTTTCAAAATCCGCTGAAGCGTTATATCTATTTTTCTCACCTCCTAATCTACAAAAATTACATGCTGCCTATTAAGGTGCTGGTTGTAAGAATTTCTTCCCATCCAGCGCCAGTTTGTCCAAAGTTCAAACTGAAAATTAAAAGTAAGAAAAAAGGAAATCCTAAGTGATGAAGCTTTTTTTTTCAAAAGACTAGTTACAAAAAGGCACTACTGTGTACTAGGAAAAACTAAACAAATCTGTAATCAAAGAACTATTTATTTCCAAAATTTAATATTTTTCTAAACTGACTTTTTACATTTTGATTACTTGGTTGAACGTAGGTTTAATTGATTGACATCAGATGTCCGTTATTTTATAGATATGACAGATATATTTTATACCTTTGGCCGGTGGAATAGTTTTAAAACTTTAGGGTGACGTTTGTATGAATTTCTTGCAAAGTTTTGGAGGTGAACCCAGTATGTGATAGCTGCATAGAGAATTATCGTAAATCATAAAATTTATATTTCATATTGGTTTGAAAGAGTGAATCATAAACAAGAAAAACACATTTTATGCTTATCAGGGGCGTGGCCAATCTATACTCCTATAGGCCTGGGCCCACGATTTTTTCCGCCCGGTGGACTTTTATAATATTGTCATGAATTACCAAAATTCGAAGTGTTTGGGAACTACTAAAACTAGGAGTGTTCTGGCTAAATGTTTGAGAATTGTTTAGGCCTGTTGGATTATCTTGAAATCTTTATGCGAGTCTCACATTACTCAAAGGGTCTTTTACCCTTTGAGTGATGCGTCTTGGACCCTTATAGTTGGGCTTAACTCTCGTACGATGATTGTCATCGCTGGTCGTGTTTGAGTTTGTCCTTGACCTTGCTTAAAGTACTCAACGGGAGGTTTTGTTTAGGTTTTAGTTCTCGAAGATTGGTTGTGTTTCAAGTACTGTGTTGTTCATTTCGAATGTCTCGTGAGATTGTTTTGGTGAACATTCTAAAAACATGTGTTCTCTGCCAAGGTCAGTTGTTCCGTAAGCCTAGTAGTATGACTTTTGCAAATTTTAAAACGAAAATTGTACTTTCTTAGGGTACAGGCCTATAAAACGTTGAACTGAAAGCTGGCTACGCCCCTGCCAACGTTAGTCAAGTTTAGATTGCTTCGAAGTGATGAAAGTATTACTCGTGTGATGGGCATCGGTTAAGAGGATTGCAATGTCGATATATTGATTGGTGTATGCTAGTATCTTGTGGCGAATTCATTTACATGGTAAAGTGATGTCCTCGATTTCTAGCCATGTTTAAGTTATTACAAAATTAATCTTCCTAAGCAGTGTTTTAGCAATTGCTGAATTACATGGATGCACGCAAATGCATTTAGCTTCTTTGGCTTGAGTTTAATTTTACCAATTTGCCTTTAAATAACCTGGGGTAGCATAGTTGGCAAAGTAGTTATAAACTTCTGGAAGATAATTAATTCACTATTTGTATGGCTCTGTGCACGCAACTGCGTTTAAGATGAGAAATTTGTATGCATTGTGTTAGATTAGAAGATATGTTTTTGATGACTGACCTTAGATAACATCGTTGGTGAGGTCGTTAAAACCATTTTCAGAATATTATTTTTCCATTTTTATTGCTATAAACACCAATTGCATTTTATAGTAACAATTTTTTTGAAAATGTGTCTATTGGTTCCTTACATTTGTAAAAAAACAAATCAAAAAATAACCAAATGTTCACAGCATTATTTGCACTGATTATGCTAAGTTAAGTAGAGAATAAAGCGAGAATGATTTTACATGTGGTGAGAGGGATTTTGTGTTCACAGTATCGCAAGACTCTGTCGATGAGTTATTGCACGACGTAGTGATGAAATTTCAAAATATTGCTTCCCGGCAATATACTGAATTGGAGGAAGTACTCCGTAAGTAAGGGGAAAAAACAATACCGGGTTCCACTTGCCTACATGCAAGCTTGATCCATAATAAAATATATTTTCGTGCGTCTTCTCTTGCCTTCCTTGTCATCACTAAGACCAAAACTGTGTTGATTGGAATAAAATTGTACCTTGCGTTAATGTTTGAATGATCCGCCTTTTGTAACAAACCCCCTATCTAGAACCTCAAATTTCTAAAAGGCCTCAATCCCTCTCTCTAGGAAGCCACCCTTTCACTACTGCCCTTAAACAAAAAGTTTAGGATCGACTTTTCTTTCAGCCTGGTAGTTGGACAGTATCGAGATAAACATGGATTGAAATCGTCGGTTTCTTAATTTCAATATTTTCTTCTGAATATTGTAAATTTTCCATCCAAAGAAATGTATAGCGCGCTAAAAGTTCATTAAATTTACGGCTGAGCGACGGTGAGTGGTAAAGTGAAAGTTATTAACAACAATTTTGTTTTTCATCACTGAGTTTCTGATTAGTAGCCATCTCCTAAACTTCCCCCCTATCCTGAAGCTTTCGTCAATTTTAAGCATCCCCTTGGGCCTATCAAAGTAATTACGGTGTTACATTCGGCGTCCTATAGACACACTTCATTCACACCTGCCAAAGTCCTCACGTTATGTTAAGATAAGGAGAAGATACGGATTGATAGATTGAAAAGATTACCCGTTAAACACAGACCTTTTGTGAATATTCTCAATTCTTTCGGTAGCTGACTGAAAAGAATAAAACAGAGGAGCTGTGACTCAACCTGAGACAATTAAAGTTATACTCCACAAACTGAGACGTGTCAGGATGGATTTCCGAACAGCCGTTTTTCTGATGTGTATTTTGGTGTCAGCATCTTTTATTACTCAAAGTAAAGCAGTCATGGGCCCTTCAACAAATTCTGGGAAAAGATACTCAAAGTTTTCACCAGAAGCGGATGAAGGGAACTTCAACCAGGTTCAGTGTTTAATGTTCGTTACTTTAAGAAATATGAGCTCCATACAGGCTTCTTCATTACTCTCCAACGCCGTTGATGTAGTCACACTTTCCTTTTGTTTTGTTTTGTTTTTTTATTTTACAGAACTCATTTGACGAAGGACGGACTATTCGAGATTTATGCGTGGCTGCGAGGGACGTCTGTGAAGGAGGAAAAAGAAAGTGATGAAAACACCTCACAACAAGTTTAGAGCTTCTTTGCGTCAAGTTATAATAATCATAACTATATGTAAAGTTTCGGAGAATATTGTGGATCACGGATTGTAAGGAAAGATAGTAAAATAATTAAAATCGACCGTAAAATTTCAAATTGGTGGCTACTTTCAATTTGTTTGAAGGGTGGGGGCGGGTATGTTCGTTTGACTACTAAGTAACTCTTGTCGGGAGGTAAAAAAAACAATGAGCCCGCGTTATAAACATATCATCTCGTGTTGATAGTATCTCTTAAGTGTTACTGAAAAAACTTTTCCTTTAATGGGATATAGTTTAAATCATACTAGTTGGGCCTTAAAGAAAGGAAAATATTTAGTAAATGAAAAGAGTTGAAAACCAGGCAAAGCGCAAGGGAAGATATGTCCGAAATGAATTTAAAACCCTAGTGCGTTCCAGATTTTATCGTGGAACCCAACATATCAAAGTCAGACTTAAAAAAAAAAACCGTAGAAACACAATTGTAAGGGTAGAGACACAAACCAGCTTTCCCGGTTTTAAAGTACATGGCGATAAGCCCACTGAAACCTTCAAACGGGCACTAATAGTATTCCTTCCCTAAAGTTTATCCTCGAACGTAATGAGGATATTTTGAATGGAAATTACTCTGATGGGTTCATCAATAATATCGACAGTCACATCGAATATTACCAAGTTAGTTACTATTATTATAATTATTGATAGCATTATTATTATTATCATTATTATAATTGTTGTTATTACTATTATTAACATCATCATCATAGTGTGTAATATATTAATCGTCTCCTGCCATAATGGAAATGATCCAAATAATATTTGATAATAGCATGTACTCAGAGCAAACGCTACCCTGAGCTTCCCTATGCCAGCTTGATTTTACATATTCGTAGTTGTTAGGGATAATTAATGAAAATTGTCGTATTCCGCTCCGCCTCCACCTCATTACTTGGAATCTTTATTGAGATAGTTTGCACCAGGACAAAATGAGTGGACCCTTGACATGGATTGAAATTGTCAGTTTCTTACTTTCAATATTTTCTTTTGAATATTGTAAATTTTTCATTCATTCAATGAATGAAGCGCGCTAAGAGTTTATTAAATTTACAGCTGAGCGACGGTGAGTGGTAAAGTGAAAGGTATTAACAACAATTTTGTTTTTCATCATTGAGTTTCTGATTAGTAGCCATCTCCTAAACTTCCCCCCTATCCTGAAGCTTTGGCCAATTTTAAGCATCCCCTTGGGCCTATCAAAGTAATTACGGTGTTACATTCGGCGTCCTATAGACACACTTCATTCACACCTACCAAATTCCTCACATTATGTTAAGATAAGGAGAAGATACGGATTGATAGATTGAAAAGATTACTCGTTAAACACAGACCTATTGTGAATATTCTCAATTCTTTCGGTAGCTGACTGAAAAGAATAAAACAAGGAAGCTGTGGCTCAGCCTGAGACAAGTAAAGTTATACTCCACAAAACTGAGACGTGTCAGGATGGATTTCCGAGCAGCCGTTTTTCTAATGTGTATTTTGGTGTCAGCATCTTTCATCACTCAAAGTAAAGCACTCTTTGGCCCTGCCCCACGCCCACCTGGGAAAAGATACTCAAAGTTTTCACCAGGAGCGGATGAAGGGAACTTCAACCAGGTTCAGTGTCCATACAGGCTTCTTCATCACTCTCCAACGCCATTAATGTAACCACATTTTTCCTTTTGTTTTGTTTCTTTGTTTTTTATTTTGCAGAACTCATTTGACGAAGGACGGACTATTCGAGATTTATGCGTGGCTATGAGGGGCGTCTGTGAAGGAGGAAAAAGAAAGTGATGAAAACATCTCATAACAAGTTTAAAGCTTCTTTGCGTCGTGTTATAATAATCAAAACTATATGTAAAGTTTCGTAGAATATTGTGGATCACGGATTGTAAGGAAAGATAATAAAATTAATAAAATCAATCGTAAAATTCAATGGCTACTTTCAATTTGTTTGAAGGGTGGGGGAGGGTATGTTCGTTTGACTACTGAGTAACTCTAGTCGGGAGGTAAAGGAAACAATGAGCCCGCGTTATAAACATATCATCTCGTGTTGATAATATCTCTTAAGTGTTCCTGAAAAAACTTTTCCTTTGATGGGATAAAGTTTAAATCATACTAGTTGGGCTTTAAAGAAAGGAAAATATTTAGTAAATGAAAAGAGTTGAAAAAAGGCAAAGCGCAAGGGAAGATAAGTCCGAAATGAATTTAAAACCTTAGTGCGTTCCAGATTTTATCGTGGAACCCAACATATCAAAGTCAGACTTGAAAAAAACCATGGAAACGCAATTGAAAGAGTAGAGACACAAACCAGCTTTCCCGGTTTTAAAGTACATGGCGATAAGCCCACTGAAACCTTCAAACGGGCACTAATAGTATTTCATACCTAAAGTTCACCCTCGAACGTAATGAGGATATTTTGAATGGAAATTACTTTGATGGGTTCATCAATAATATCGACAGTCACAATGAATATTATTATGTCAGTTACTATTATTACTATTATTATCATTATTAATATCATTATTATCATTATTATAATTGTTGTTATTATTATTATTAACATCATCATCATAGTTAGTAACATATTGATCGTCTCCTGCCGTGATGGAAATGATCCAAATGATATATGATAATAGCATGTACTAAGAGCAAACGTTTCCTTGAGCTTCACTATGCCAGTTTGACTTTACATGTTCGTAATTGTTAGGGATGATTGGTGAAAACTGTCTTATTCCGCTCCGCCTCCACCTCCACCTCATTACTTGGAATCTTTATTAAGATAGTTTGCACCAGGACAAAATGAGTGGACCCTTTGGTTTCTATTGTTTTGTCCCTTAATTGAAAAGTGAAAATTCTCCATATTTTAACGCTTTGCTAACGGCCACATCTGCCTACGGAGCTTGAGGACTGTAGTATATGTCGTCACAGTTCATACTCAAGAAAACGATACGGGTACCCAACGGGCAAATAAGGAAAGTGCGGGAGGCTATCTAATTTAGGCGTGGAATGTGCGAGAGTGGAACTCTAAACTCCTGACATGTCAGACAGCGGGAGAGGGATATGATAATATGGATATATGATGAGGAGAATTTCGCGGTTGAATTGAAGAAGTGACCGAGAGTCCGTGAACAGAAAGAACATTCTGGAAACAGTTAGTGATATTTCAAGCGATTTATTATTTGTTATTTATCGCTCTGACATGGATACCGGACGAGATTACACTTCATTTTGAAATAATCTTTACTGCTTAAAGAACTTATTGAAAGAGTCCGTTTTGATCGTCATTTTCTTGTTCACAAACTTCCCTCATAGCCACACAAATGTCACGGACAGTGTTCGCTTGATAAAATGAACGCTGAAAGATATGAAAAGATACGAAGAAAAGGCTTTAACAGTAATCAAATAAACGTCGTTGGTCTAAACATCATTATTGGTCTACAAGAGCAAGGCAATAGACCCAGTTGACAACACCGTACCTTCTGAAATAATTCTCTATCTTTTTTCATCCTTAGTGATCCAGGATGACGAGGACCGAACACTGCTTCTGTTTGACAGATCATGAAGGCTGAAATCAAAACACAGAATAAGAGGAAAGTGACTCTTCGAGAATCCATCGTTTCAACAATCTCCGAAGCGTGAGAAAAACAGCAGCAATGAAAGATAAACTGAGCTCTGCCCAGGGAAGTTTGTGCGTTTTATACCTTTATTCACATCGGTTGATCACGCACTGCATAAACAGCCATTCAGTTGAGTTTAAAAATTGGCTGAAATTGTCTCTAAATACCAAAATTAAATGTTATTAGAGGTTTTATGGCGTCTGAAATATGTTTTGGGCACACTAAATATGTAATGGGTGCATGTTGAGTAATTACTGTAATGAGTGAAATTTTGCCAGGTGAGAATCTTCTTTTTTGGCAACAATTTTTCACAGAATTTTGTCGTTAGAAAAATTATAAAAAAATAACTGATGGGAGGGTCGGAGCTCTCCTGGCCCCCCCTGCTAACTACGCCTCTCTTTAACTTTACAGTTCGCGCACTTAAAATCAATCTTTCAAAACTTCAACAGCGGTTTGAGTCATTTTAAGTAAAATCCTTCATAAGAACTGACTTAGGGAAAAGCTGCATTGCTTCCCACTTATAATTAAGGGAAGGTTGGAGTTAAGGCAGTCAGCCATGTCCATGTAGCTTTGATGCAAATTTTTCTTTAAAAAATTATCAGATGCCGGGTGTTTCACATTTTTCTTAAACCGACATTTTAATACAAAATAAATTCTTCATACTTCCAAATTGTTTCCAGCCAATGGCAACCTAAAATATTTCTTACAACCGACCGTCAAAAGAGGAAAGGCCCAGTTGATATTTCAAGCATCTTTGGTGACAAGAAAAGAATCAATTTAAAGATAAGAGTTGTTGAATGCACTATCTTAAGTATGGCACTAAGGGCCTGTTTACATGGAGGTGGGGGACCCCTGGTAGGTGAGGTAACCCGCCTGTCCATATAATTTCTTATTTTATTTTGATCACCTTCACATGATAGGTGGGGTGACCCGCCTAGGCGGGTTGTCCTGTCTGCCAGGTAGGGTAACCCTGTCAGCCGGGGTGACAATTTGCCATGTAAACGTCTCAAGGTGGAGTAACTCGCCTAGCCAGGGCAGCGTTCATGGCAAAAAGCTCAAAAGCGAAACATGTATGTTTTAAAACTTTTCACATTTCCTAGCCGTCTCATGGCAGAATTCACCAGAAACCGCAACGGACACACAAGGAGTGTAAAAATGTTCACATTTCGGAATATTTAGCGTTGTAAATCGACCATATTTGGTTTCCCAAACTACTCCGTATAACGAATTAAGTCAACGGTTTCTCGCGAAACCAAACACTGCGTAACACAACGCGTGACGCTTTCATGAATAAATACATTTGTGTCCGAGAATTAATCTTTCGTCTTTTTCGAGATATGAGCTTGGGACGCCTCTGCTCAAACTCCTTAATTGCAAGCGTAACAACACGCTCACCCCCAACAACACGCTCAAGAAACCTCACCCCAGCAACCCGGGGTTGTAAGATTGCATGTAAAGGCGTTTTTATTTTTCGACCACGGCTAGGCAGGTTACCTCACCTACCTGGGGTCCCCCACCTCCATGTAAACAGGCCCTAATTTCAAAATAATTTTAGGCGCCACACGTCTTGAAAGTAACGTTTTTTTCCCAGTCAAAATTTGAAAACGTTAAGTCGGGATTACGCGTAGAAATTTTGTTCCAGTTATTAGTATTATGAAGTATGTTTTGTGGCAGAGTGTCTGTTAATCCTTTCGCGTAAGGAGGCGCGGATGTTACGGGCTTGTAAAATGTTTAGGAGCTTTTCAAACGTGACACCTGCATTAAAAAGGCAATTTTGATAAGTGATGAATTCATTACAATGGTCCAATCTTATCACAAAAGAAGATAATAAACTTCTCTACCAATGAAGAGGCATTGCTGTTCACAGGTGCAAAACTTCAGTAAAAACAACGGGCAGCACAAGAAACTACAAACGAATGAACTAATTTGAATAATAAACATATGCGGTCTTTTTCCAGCTTAATTTTGAGCCTTTCAAACAAGAATTTTTATCCAGCGTCAAAAAATTCGTTTTTTTCGGGCGAGTTCTTGTCGGGTAATACTCTACAAACAAATGGGTCAGTTGTTGGTAAAATTCAAGGAATGGCGTGAAAAACTTGAGTTATCGCACGAAAAGGCAAAACATGGTAAATATTTTAAAAATATCTCTTATTTACCGTTTGTGAGTTTACACGGTTAACAAAACAGTTGTTCGTGGTAAATTCCGGTTCATCTTTAAAGAAAGCAACTCGAATTTGATGCATGTTGTTGACTCCAACCAAGAATATTGTTTGTAAACTTTTCACATACACGATGATGGAAATATTTTTACAATGAATGTCTCATATGCTCCGTGACTTCAAGATGTCACTGAGCGTTAGGATCAAAGATGCTTCGTTATTATCATTATTACTACATCTTATGACAGATAATCTTAAATTGAGATCGGCAAATACTACATTTGTTGGGCACACTTACCATAACGCTTTTTCTAACGAAGATGTTTTCATAAAACTGAATTCCCGTTTAAGTTTCTTTGAGCGCTAACAGCGACGATCAAAGAGCGAGATATTCCAATACAATCCTTCTTTGACTGTCAAATGAAGGCGGATCACATTTTAGTCCAGAATGGTTAAATTTTGGTTCCAAAATTAAACAACTTATTCAGAGATTGCCTGTTTATAATAACTTCTTCCTTGAAGAAAGGGTGCAGAATCGGTGAACTTCCGAATTGAAAATAATATAAAAGCCGCCCACTGAAAGTCCGGTCATGAATATTCATTTTCATTTAACTGTCACATTTTATTCCCCTTAACATTTTCAGTATCTTTTTCAAGCACAAGAGTCAATTATGACATTAAAACCTTGGCAAATGAACTAGCTTTCTCAGCTCATTTTACATATATATCAGTCAATATGTTTTCAGTGTTTAAGTACTATTTTTTAACAGATCATTCAGACTGAGGATCGAAAGACAATCTTTTTTTTTATTATCATTTACCAAATATTGCTAAGATATGAAGATTTTCGTCATCAGTAAAACTGTTAGGATTTTGATGTTTGACATGATTTTCACAATGCGTTTTCCTGAATATCATTTTCTTGTAAGTAAGCTGTAAACAGTGTTATATCCATATCATGAGGTAGACTAAGCACTAGTTGTACTGAGATTGGTCAATTGTACAAGAGCGGAAAAACGGCTTTTCGTAATGCAACAGTTACTACTAGAACAGTTATTGAAGTTTTCAAACAAATTGATCTCTTTCGAGATATTTCACCGGCCACGGCCGGTGAAAGCAAAGAAGAATACCACTATGTAGAGAATTTAAAGTTGTTTTAATTATTTAGTTATATTTTTGTATTGTTTTGGTTCGTTTGATTGCAAAATAAAGATACAAAAAAACATTTTAAAACTGTTTGAAAAGGCATTTTGACGACGTTTCGACGTTGCTTCACGTCATTATCAAGTCAAGAGTAAAAAAGACAAGTGGAAACATGTAAAGTAATTGAAAACAACCAAAAGAATGTTTTTGGCCCGTATGGGTATACGTTTCCAAGGTGAAACTACTCTGACGCAGGGCTAACGCTAGAAACGTCAGCTTTTAAACTCCTATCAACTCAGTTGATAACACTTAATTACCTGTTATACTCTCCCACCGACGCAGCACCCCAGTTTCTTCAGAAACTTACCCCCTTAAATATGTTAGGTGAAAGAAAGGCTTGGAGCGAGTCGAGTCATTCTGCGCGTTCAATGCGGAGAGTTTGATGTCACGGATAACAAGGATTTCGTAGATTGCCTCATTTAAGTCCTTAAAATATGTACCAGCAAATTGACTGTTTGATTTGATATGCATTTATATGATGAGGTCTTTTTTGTGTGTGTGTTTATTAATTATTGACTCATTTTTGCACAGGGTCTTCCAGGACCATCTCTCTAGAGCAGAAGTTGTTACCCAGTGAAGACGATCAGAAACCAACCAAAGACTACGGTGCAACACATGAAATTAAAACACTGCCATCCTCAGATGAACTATTCACGAAATTAGACACGTTGGAGCGTGTCTTGGATGACCAAAAGAAATTCCTCGAGGATCATGATGCAAAGATACAAGAAATAGAAAATTTTATTAGAAAACTAGCCAACGAGCGAGAAGAAAATCAGCAAGGTGAGCAAGGGGAGAACTTAAACTGAATCTAGAGGTTTTCAGCTTGGAGGCACATCTTAATGGCCGATAAAACTTTTTCAGCAAAATCGACTTGAAAATGATTCAGGTTACCAGGCAGTTGGGAACAATGCTGTTCTTTCCGGGACCATTAAGCTTCAGGAGACTTTTCGTAGCCCAGCCATTAGCGTCAAAAGACTGTCCTGCATTGCGCTAAGATTCGAATGTCTCAGAGTTCCGGTACCAGTATACCATCTACTTTACTATCAAAAATTGAGTTCTAATTTTGTAAGCAAATGCTTTCCATTTTTCGTTCTCCAGCTATTGAGTTGCCTCACTGTCTCGTTTCAGAGGTTAAACTTAGTGACCCCTGGGGAAGGTTTGAGCAACACAAGCAGATTCTAACGAGCCACGAGGAACGACTCGAGAAAAATGCCATCAAGATTGAGATTATTAAAGAAATGCTGGATGACATACAAGGTACGGTCTTAAATAACCTTTTTGGTACCAGTATTTTTTTCGTTTGTTGATTTTTTTGGGTCACCATCTGGCTCTCTTAACTTTTGTACATGTAGGACCCATGTAGCTTAGGCCTATGATCAGCCCTCGTGGGCTCCCCTCGTGGACTCCCCTCGTGGGCTCCCCTCGTGGGCTCCCCTCACGCACGTTTCGCGGGAAATAACTTTTCCTTTCACGATTCATGGAAGGGAATTCTACAAAAAAATTAAAGATCTTTAAAATCACTGTATCTGAAAGGTGGGCTTAAAATTTCTCTCTTCACAGATATTAGTTTGATGAAATGATGCCTTTCGAAAAATGCATCCCATCAATTCAATTTCCCATTTGAATGAAAAGTCCTTCCGTGAGTCACGAGTATGCTGTTACCATCTGCTGAACAGTAAATATTTTTCCGTAGCCCCATGTAAGGGGTATTGGAAATGCATGAGTAATTTTGCTCAATGTCAGTTTCTACACGACTGCACCCCTACCCCTCCCCTCACCCAACAACAATGAACTACTAGCACCTTTGAATTATTGTTACGTTAGGGGAGGGGTAGGTGCTTAGTTGCTCAGATACTCACATTGATCCTGTAATTTTGTTTTAAACTTAAAAGGAGGCCAAGGAAGTGAGGTGTTGAAGCAAAAACTTAAGGAATACAAAGAACTGTTGAAAAAGGGAAGAGAATGTTATGAGAGGTTAAAGGAAGAGGTAGAGGAACAGCTTCAAATCCAACAGAAGCAACTCGATAACATGTTAGCTGGTTTTATAGTGGGTTTTGTGGTACTGGTGATAATTTTCATGGTACCAAGAACACTTTTGACATCTGGATAATACCTGTACCACCAACATCACACATTGTTGGAACAATGCTACCAGCTGTTAATTACTGCCGTTTAACATTGGCAAACATGGGCAAGGCCGCAAAACAGGGCTCAAATATCAAACTGCATTAAAAATTATTACTGCTATTTAACATTGGCAAACATGGGCAAGGCCACAAAACAAGGCTCAAATATCAAACTGCATTAAAAATTATCATTACAGTTGTAATATTCGACAACAAACAGCTTTAGTCATCAAGGGGTGATTTTCACAAGAACTCACTCCCTAAGGTATGAAGTAATTTAACTTCCTTAAAAAAATTATCTTGACAAGCGTGTATGACAAGCTTATTCCAAAGGAACTGATCTGTTAATAAAATAGACTCACTCTTACAAAGTTCTTGTTTGCTGCATCCTACAGACACCCTACAGACTCTGATATTAACCACCATATGCTAGGAAAGAAAAGAATGTAAAAAGGGACCAAAATTATTAGCCTTATTAGAGCCCCTTTCCACAAAGTGGCTCAGGGATAGGCTTGTAATTTTGTTACATTCTGCCATCAATCATCATTGTAACAGGCAGAAACAAATGAAACTGACTGAAATCATGCCATCACATTCAGCACATAATCCTTTTAACCCCATCAAACATTTCTCCTGTTAATCAGAAGGTCTGCTACATGACTAAAGGGGCCTCAGAGAAAATTTCCATGATCAATCTCCACCCTTCATGATTTACATGTTATATAGTTTCTCCACAAAAAAATTGACCTTTCAATTGAAGGAACCCCAGAAACCAAAAAAATGCCAAAACCATACACATCAAAGGCTCAACAAATATCATGATTTACATTCAATAGACTTAAAATGATTTTTACCTTTGATTTCTCTTAAGAATGGCCAATTTTCTTACTTTGAAGTTCATTGTCAAACAAGATACCAAAGAATGTCACCTTGCCCAGACTTAATATTGACATCAAATTGATTGTTTTTCCTTACAATTATTAAAAAATGGGCATTTAAGTTTGTCACAAAGAATATGGTTGGTAAGAGGGGGAGGGGAACAAGGGGCATTTTATTCACCTCTCTCAGGTTATATACCGTAAGTCAGAACCAGCCAACCAGATCAGGCTATCAAAAATAATAATTTTTTTGCTTATAAGTTCTTTCTAGCCAGACTACTCATTTCCTAAATTATGTTCCCTGTTAGAATGGAATTTTTAAAGAATCAGCAAAATAGTGAAAAAATGAAAGAAAAAACATTCAGGCAAGCACCCGGGGTGAAGGTCTGAGTTGGTCACTAAAAAGCCAATATGAACAATCACAATGAGGTTTATTGATAATTACAGGTAGAGAGCTTGGGGTTACTCAATTCCTACTTTGTTCTTACTTCATGACTTCCTACATCATAGAAAAAATTCAGTGATCTTCCTCTCCAGTGGAAAAAAGCACTAGCTAGCTGACTGATCTGCTCAGTACAAAGGTCTCTTACTGTAAGATCATCTGCAAACTCTAGCTCATCAAAAATCGTATGGCTTCCTGGGCTAATAGTTTCCATTACATCTAACACTTTGCTTTTTGGTTTAACCAAAAGAAGTCTGATAAAGTAGTTTAAATATTCCAGATCTTCCCTTGCTATGTCCACACTTGGTTTTTTTTTAGGTATAATACTCACCAATGTCAGAAAACTATCTTTTTCTTTTCTTTGAACAGGATAAAACATTGAACAGGGTTCTCGGAGTAAAATATTTACATCGCAAAACATTTCCAACATGATTGACTGTCTGTTGTAATATTTACTCCCAAACTGAGCAGTGATTTTATGCGCTCGATCCTCTGCAAAGAAAAAAGCCAGTTCACTCCTCCCTTTGTGGAAGATGCCGTTCTTTGCTGCTATTGCCCCAAGATGCCTTAACAAATTTCGGTGCACAACGTCAGGGTTAACAGCAGCCTCGATACCAATAAATCTCGCTGCTAAATGATCGGATTCCCACGGCTGGGGTTTAACCGATCGAAGCACATCCTCGGATGAAATAGCTGGAGGGATGCAGACATCTTTCTTCATTAGATGAGGGTCGATTTTACTGAAATCACCATGAAGGATTTCAAATCTTTCCCCTTCTGGAAGTTCCGATTTGAGGTCTGTTAACGACAGATGGAATTTCCTCTCCGGTTCAAGTCCAATAACATGACTCGCTCCGGCTTTCAATAATGCTTTCGCAAGAACTCCCGTCCCAGGATTTGTTACAACTATTGATTCGTCTCGTAAAGGTTCAAGCCTTTTTGCAATTTTAGCGGCCAATTTATCGTCTAGAATGTATTTGTAGTTTCTCTTCAATTGCGTATATAAATCATTGTAATTGTATCTCACCAAGGATGAGTTTTGTGAATGGTACAACGAAAGAGTCCTATTTAAGGAATAAAAACTTTTAACCATCCACGATAAACTCTTCCACTTAGCTGCCATGTTGTTATGTAATAGTTCGCATTGATTGCTGGGAATGTTTTAGTTTCAAGATGGCGGAGGACAGGGAGGTATTACGATACATATGGGACGGAAGATTACCTGTCTGTTTTAATTTAAGTTCAGATGAGGTGGTTACTGTAGAACAGCCAGATCCTTACTACGTAAGTATTGTTTTACCCTATGTAAATTGAGGTGGTTTAAGTGCCAAGTTGAATGCATTGAGCTGTTTTAGCAGTGAGTTATTTCTCTTCAGTGTAATTTCTTCATAGCAGTCGGAAACATTTTTCTTTCTGTGTTTCTGAAATCCCATGATGGATCTCTTATAATAATTTCTGTAGGTAGAAAATAACTGGTTCAATATGTCTTTCAGCTGTTGGTCCCAAGACTGAGTTACCTGACTCTTGTCACGGATAAAGTTCAACGACATTTCCAAAGGGCAATCAGTAATGAAAGTGTCGATGAAGTGTGGTTTGAATATGATGGACAGCCATTGAAATGGTAGGTGTCTCTAAGATTCTACCTTAAAGGCGAAAGTGTGTGAAAAATACAGGCTAGTCATTACTTCTTATCTTATCCGCAGGTCAATTTGTATATGTTTGATTTGCTTTAGTATTTCTACCTTAATATTAGTCTGCAAGTTTTCCATACGTTTTCCAAGGTACTCAAAAAGAAACTTTGCTAATCAGTCAAGAGCCTCTAGAGTTGCCGATCATTTCCTTAATTCATCTGACCTTAATTTTTTATTCAACCACGATACTGTCAGGAGAAATTAGTTGCTGATCTTTCTTAGGGGTTAACGGTTTTGGACTAAAGGATTTATGAATGGGTGTTAGTGCAGGTATTCTCACAACATGGTGAGAATTTTTCTACCATATAAGACAAGGCCAATTCTCAAGGTTGTTTAAACAGGTCATTTTTCAAAGGTCAATTTTTTAGGTGGTTTAACCAGGTCATGTCTGAAAGGTTAGTTAGATTTTGTAGATATTGTGTGGAATTAAACCTTCACACCCTAACATCAGCATGCATATTCTCCATACTTTTTCCTATACATTTCCTAAGGTGCTGACAAAGAGAATTTGTTTATCAATCAAGAAAATCTTTGGTTGGTGATCATTTCCTTTATTCTCATAACCTGACTGTGTGTTGCAAGGGTCATACTGTTGGGAGAAATTACATGCCGGTCACTCTCAGTGGTTAAAGGGTCAAGAAAATTTCGGAATAAAAAATAAGTCTAGTAAATGATTTAACCATGTTTGTTATGTTTTCAAATTCATTTACAAGGATTTAAGAACCAATCAAAAGTTGCATTTTTCTCAAGATTTGCCTTGCTTTGTAGCTCATCTGTTAGTGGCACTGAGCTAGTACCGTATTTACTTGTGTATAAGTCGAATTCGTGTATAAGTCGACCCCTCATTTTCAAGGTCAAAAATCAGATTTTTCTTCATTTCAAGTCAAAGAAGTAACTCTTATTTTGGAGAATGTATTGAAAACACAGGGAATTAAAAAAAAAGCCGAGCAAAATGTAACCATATGCTGTGAAGTTTATTAGCACTTGTTGATATCACCACGATTTAAGTATATATGAGCACTTCGATTTACTGGAGAAGTATTTTACTATATTTTGTGAATCATATTGAAAATGAAATTTTGCATTAATATTGCCTTCATCTTAATGCTGAGTTTGAAGGAAGATTAATTAGACCGAAGGAGAACCGAAGAACTTCGAAGGATCACACAATTAACATACAAGACCGTGCGAGCCAGGTCATCAAGCCACTGAAATCATTCAATGAAAACAAAAGTTCAGCACTGTTAACAGCAGCAAAGCTGAAGGCAAAAATGTCTGCTCTACCGTCTAAAGACACAATAAAAATCAGCTCCAGTAGCTTTTTGTTAAGCCACTTAAAATTTATTATTTCAAACATTTTTGTTGAGGAAGAATGTGGTAAAAAGTGACAAAATTCAAACACAATTAGAACTGGTTTTATAAACTTGGTCTTCCCAACGGACTTCAGGTAAATTTTATGCTAATTTCTTGGATTGCTCAAATCAGGTCTTTGTGTGTAAGTCGAGGGTGATTTTTTGGTCGTAAAAGGTTGACTTATACACGAGTAAATACAGTATCTGGAATGCATGAGTGTAATTCTTTTTGAACCCTGAATTTTTTTTTCACTGAGTCTTAATTATCAATGATGAATTTGCTTGCAGTCAACCAGTGAATATTGATTCATTATGTCTTACATTTCCCAAGATTTGCCCAGCTTTGTAGCTCATTTGTTAGTGGCACTGAGCCAGTATCTGGAATACATGAGTGTAATCCCTTTGAACACTATGTCTTTATTATCAATGATGAATTTGCTTGCACTCAACTAGTGAACATTGATTCATTACTTATTACGTATATATGCTACTAATCAGAACAACAAGCGACTTCCTTTTTTCCTTTCTTCCTTTCAATTGCCCTAATTGATCCAGAGGAATTAATGGACAAAGTCATGTGATCTATGTTTTACTGCACTTTAGGCACTATCCTATTGGTGTCCTGTTTGACCTACATGGTTCATCTGCTTCTTTACCATGGAATCTTACAGTTCATTTCCAGGTAATTAGCAAATATCGAATTTCCAAATAGCTAAACTTGGTAAACATATTTACATCACAAACTTATAAATTCATCTTTTTTATGGTTGAAACCTTATGGTGTTCCATGAGGAGGTGGACTCCAAACCTTTGGGTTACATGCATTGTTAGGATCATTGTCTGTGTCTGAGCACCTACCCCTCTCTTAACCCAAGAACAGTTAACTCCCTGATAACTAGTTAAAGTTGGTTTTGTGTGGGGAGGGGTAGGTGCACAGTTACTCAGACACTGATATTGATTCCAATGGTTTTTTTTTTCTTTCAACAAGTTACAGAGAACTTGGTGCTGAGTTAGGTCTTTATTTGTATTAGTACTAGCCAAGGTCATATGTGATAAACTGTCTGTATACTGTTAGATATCAAAAGTGTAATGTGGATAAAGAGACTAATTTGAGAACAATTTGAGCTTCTTCATTAACAACAGAAATGTTTCATTTTTTTCCCAACCAAGGGAAACTTACATCTTATTTGTGGTATTAACTCAGTCATTTGAATTGCTGGAACCTTCAGAGTATACAAATGTAATTACAATGTAATGGAGACCTTGTACTGAGTTTGTAATAGATACTCTAAAATTCAATCTGCAGAAATTTCCAGAAACTGAAGTGATGAGATGTCCTGGAAAAGAAGCTATAGAGTCACATTTTATGTCTGCTGTTAAAGAGGTAACAGTTAAGTAAATGTTTAGTAATAGTTTATTAGTTTAGGTAACAATATGAAAGATTTAACCCTTTGCAGCCTAACATCTGTATCTATATTTTCCATAACCTTCTTTTTACTGTTTCTTTGTTACTGACAAGGATAATTTTCTTAACAGTTGAAGCCTCTTAGGTTGGTGATCATTTCCTTTGTTATCATGATCTACACTAACTTTAAAAATGAATGATTCAACAGTATTACTGTGTGAAGAAATTGGATGCTGGTCACTCTTAGGGTTTTTAGGACAGCTCTGATCCATAGTTTTGTTTTCCATATTTGTTTATAAACATTAACAACTGAATCGGGGTGGTAAACAGTTTTACCCATAAATATGATTTGGATAATTTTGGATACAGTCAATTTGATTTTTAACAATTTCTTATGCCTTGTTAATGTTTGAAAATCATGAACAGAAAGGTTTAGGATGTTGATTACCCAATACAGATCATAGTTCTGCAAATTTGAAAACTTTTGAGGAGAATATTTTATCAAATAGTTCATAATTATCTGTGAAAAGTATTTATTTGTACATTCATTTGGTTATGTACTTTTCATTTGCCAGGCAGACAATTTGAAGCATAGATCACAAGTTATAAACTCAATGCAGAAGAAAGATCATAAGCAACTATGGCTTGGTTTAAGTAATGGTGAGTGAAGAATGTTGTATTTTGTACAAAAACATAGTTTTACAAATCCCAAACACAAGCTCCCTGCAAAATATTTGTCCACGTTTGTCTCAGTTCTTTTTCTCTACTAGAGGCAGAGAATTGTTCCTGAGAGAACAAACTCCCCCACTTAGAGGTGATAATATGTAATAAAGAGAACTGTGTACCATATTTACCTGTGAATAAGTGTTGCATCTAGGGATGCAGTACAATCTTTGAATAACAGTGTTTTCCAGCCAAATTTGGCTCCTATTTGTCAGTATAGGATGAAAAAGAGTTACCCTGAAATAAATTCTGCCTCAAAATAAATTGCATAAATGAAATTCTAAGTAGTTAGTTGCAATGGACTGAAACCCCAACTGATGGGAGTAGCTTTGGTCCTAGATGCTTAATGTTAAGGAAATAGGATAAACTTCAACCAAATTAGCCTCCTAGCTTGAAAATTGACTTGTAAACCTCATGGGGAACAAAGACTCCAATTTTGCTGGTTAAATTCCAAATAGACTTTAAGATGTTATTGTTGACGTATAAGGCTATCAATGGCTTAGCACCTTGTTATCTCCAGGAACTTATTAGTCTTAAAAGAAGCATGTAAGTACAAGTTATGCTCCGACTGTGATGGACTGCTACTAAACCCTGTGAAATTTAAGACTTTAACAATGTTAGGAGATCGATCTTTTGCTGCTGCTGCTCCTGAACTATAGAATTCATTGCCCTATGCAATTAGGAGTACCAGTAGCCCTTCAGTAGCTTCTTTTAAAAAAACACTCAAGACATTTTTATTTCAGAAAGCTTTTTTGTGATTTTATGTACTTTTTAATCTTAATTTTAGTAGGTTTTATGCAGTTTTTTTTTACAATTTAAGTAGTCTGGGTAATTTTGAAATATTTTTATTTTTAAGCACTGATGAAAATAGCAATTTTGATATCGGCACTATATAAGTATTATTATTTTATCATTATATTTTTAAATTTCCATCTCATCCAACACGTGGCTTCACAGTGCATTCATAAGAAACCTTCAACTGCAATCTAGAAGGAGCAATTTTAAGCTACATTCAATCATAATTTTTAGACTTCACCCTTGGTAATTGCTTTCACTGCACTTAACTTGTGAGAATCAGTGAGCACATATCATATGAATGATAGTTTGTTTTTAAATCTAACAGATAAATTTGAGCAGTTTTGGGCTGTAAATCGCCGTCTGATGGAGAGAACAGGAGATGATCCTTACTTCAAACATATCCCCTTCAGAATATTTCAGGTAATCTTTTAAAGGCTTTTCCTTGTGTCAGGATTATGTCAATAAAGCGGTCACCCATTGGGGACACAGAAAACAGTACAAGAGGATACTTTTTGATGAACACTTAAAGTACCTTTTAGTGCAAATATTTGTGCCTTGGTGAGATTAGAATGATGATTTAATTGTTAGAAGCCAAATTGCATGCTTAGCTCATCTTGCCTACTTAATTTTGCCCTTTTGTAACCCTCAACACCCTAACTGACATCAGTATGTGTATTCTCTACACATTTCCTATGGCACTGACAAGGAGAATTTGTCTAAAAACCAAGAGCTTTCTGATTTCAGATGAATAGATAAAGAGATCAATAGATGACCTTTATTTATACACAATAATGTTTTAAAGCTACAAGCTTGTGAGAAGAAAGAAGGAAAATTGCATGTTGTGTATTAAATATTACTTGAATTCAAAAATAGAAAATGTTATATATTGTAACTTCTAAGTAAAAACAAGATGGGTGTGTATAAGGCAAGCAGTAGAAGCGGAAAGTATGTTAAATTTGAATTCCTTTAAGTAGTCTGTAGTGAGTAGGTGTTATTTCCAGATTATTGAGACTTGAGTGTCCAACTTCTTGTTCATAGTCACAAACAGTGTTCCATAACACAGCACTGCGACATTTATTTCATGTACCGTAATTTCCGGTCGTTTATCCGCACGGCCGATTACCCGCACTGGTGGATAACCCCCACATTATGTTATTCAACTTATTGGTGGCGAAAACGTGACATTAAAGGTGATACATTTCAATCTTTTAGAAGCTGTCTGATCTAACTTTCGACAACTTGAAAGCGTCCTTGTCGAGTTTAAAGGTCAAAGAAATTCAGACGCGTGCACAATTCTGTGTCAATATTAGCATGTACTTTATTGATAAAATTATACAGTAAAAACACTAGCGGCCCACGTCCCAATCTCAACGTTCATACTTGACAGAATGCGAATTTGTGGCCACATTTTGTGCGAGCGACCGTTCAGCGCCATGTTGATTTGTTGAAAGAAAGCTGAGTGAGTGTTAAAACTTGAATTATAAAGTACTGTCGGCGATTACTGAAAAAGTCGATATCTCCGGTTCTATTGGGCCTAACAAGTCCCTTAAAACGGGAAAATTCTCTTTAGCTCAAGCTAGTGTTAAATGGAAATTTGTTACTAATGCGCCGGATATCTTTGGATTATTTTTGTCACCATCGAGGTTTCGTTTTCACGCGTGCCGATAGCAATTTGTTCGTCACGTAACTAATTATGCGTGAAATAAACTCGAGTCGGCATCATGTTTTTGTGCCGCTTTGTGGCACTCTTAATACAATAAAATTCATTTGAGAGGTGGAAACGCATGTTGGTGATAAGTTTTTTCAATTCAACTACCGGTGGATTTTAAAATTGTCACATAACCCGCACTTCCCCTCCCCGCGCGCGTTTAATGCAAAATCAACAGATTACCCGCGGGTAAACGGCCGGAAATTACGTACCTTGTTTGGAACCTGTGTACCGTTAAAAGGTCGTTTCCCTCATTTCACAATCATTTCTTTTATTTTCATGACCTTAATTTATGATTAAAGGGAGAATTTGTTGGGAGAATTGAAATCCCTATCACTGTTGGGGTGTAAAAGGTTAAATCAGAACAGAACACTTCTTGAAATCTCATAGTATTATCCAGCCCAAAAATAAAGAGAATACAAACATACATGTGTCAGTCAAACTTTCCTTGATGAAACACCAAATTCTTTGAACTGATTTATAGTGAAATATAAGCATCAGGAAGGGAGTATTGCTAATTGGATCTCAGGAGTATAGGAGTTAAGTCTGCTCCATTTGAGACTGAGGGTTTCTACTATTACTGGTATGAACTGTTACCTCTAGAACTCAAGTGTGGCAGAAGTTATTATGGTTTTATGTTATGTTTGTTTATCTTGAAGTGCTGGTGATTTCCACCCATTCTAATTGTGTTATATAATTGGGTGCATTGTATTTTGCAGCCTGACAAACAGTTTATCCAGGAGTTGTTCAGACCCTTTAATGAAAATGGTAAGTGTCATCTTCCATAGAGCTCTGATTGGAATGTTTAAGATTTTTATCTTCTGTCACTGAAATACTGCAAAATTATTCCCTCAGTCCATAGCTTAACTGCATTCTCCATTGTTTCACTTGTACTAAATACTTGAACCTGTAGATGTCCTAGGAATGTAAACTACCCATGAAGTACTAGAATGTAAAGGTCTCTATTGTAGAAATGTATGCTCTCACGACTAAAACAAATTCTCCTCTGTTTGTATTGAAACCAAAAGAAAATTTTTCAATTAGATATTAAAAATTTCATCTGCATTCATTGATAGGCGAGCAGCACACCCTTGGTGATCTGTTACATGAGTTTGCTCCTGAGGTGTTTGCTAATGGCATTGCAAAGATAGACAATGAATGGAGGATTCTGATTCAAGGAATTGAGCCCCCTCTAGAGACACCTATACACTGGATCAGTGAACATTTTAGTCATCCTGATAACTTTTTGTACATTGTTATCGTCCGGGTTGTGTAGTGTTATTGAAGGGGGCATCTAAACTCATTTTATCGTCTTGGATTGGAAGGGGTAACTCCTATTGACCACATTTCAATCAAGTGTCCCTAAACAACAATGATCATGATAGCTTAAGAAAGGAAAATCTAAGAAGCAGTTAATGAGAACTCAAAGTCAAGACAAGCATGATGCCTTTTCCAAAGCTCTCCTGGCCAAAAAAAGTACCCTACTTCAGGTATACTGTACCCTACCTGCAGTATATTGTACCCTACCTCCGCTATACCGTACCCTACTTTCACTATACTGTACCCTACCTCTGGTATATTGGACCCTACCTCTGGTATACTATACCCTACCTGCAGTATAATGTACCCTAACTCTTGTATACTGTAACCCACCTCTGATATACTGTACCCTACCTGCGGTATACTGTACACCACAGGTTACCAAGATAACACTCATTTGTTTTCTAACTCACAAAAAATAACTACTCCCAGGCGGTTATGACGTCCAGGAAAATTTAATGAGAGAGATTTTTTACTCTTCCCTTCTTTGTATAAAGGAATTTATTTTTTTAATTTATTGATAGAACAATTGTAAAGTAACAGTGACTTTAAAGACATTTAGATATTGAATGTACGCAAGACTATCCATAACATTCTGGTGTTTTAATTTAAAGCCCGTGTTCTTCATAAACCTACTTTTGAATTCTTCACTTTTGCTCAGAGGTAAACGAAAGTTTTTTTTTATGCACCTCGGGTGCGAAGGATTCCACGAAGCGTAAAGCTTTCGTTTCGGTTGTAATCAAAGGCTCTATGGCCGGTTTTGGAACGGTGTGTCGGAAAAGACATCGTGATGATATCCAAGGAGATCCTGGTAAAAACGATTAAAGAGCAAGAGCCATACCAACGATTTATGCATGAAAATTCTAACCAAGTGACCTGTCAATCATAAGCCACCAATCAACCGTTGTCAAGAGAATATCACCTTAGAGAACTTATCGATAGATAGATAGATAGATAGCCAAAAGGCTGAATTGCCCAATATTTTACAATAAATAAAGAAAATGTATAAACTACTATAATACAGGTTATGCTTGAAGGAAATTGATAATACTACTAAGCTTAGAATCAATAGAATTATGTACGCACATTTACACTAGGTTGTTGTTCGCTAATCTACACATTGCAGGGATGAATGAGCGCTAGAAACGATTGGTGCACGCATGGGGAAGGTCATACTCCCTTTTTTTCCCTAAGATTGTAGTGATATCCCCCATACATACCCCTCTTCCAATGAGAATGTTTTTTAATTCTAATTTTAGTGCGCGCTCCTGCGGCGGGACTAATTTGAGAATAACGGCTGATTGGTCGGTAGTTCTGTGGTGAAATTTGATGTGTGATGTTTGGTTGCCTACGGTTTGTGGTTTGTGGTGTTCACCATGATGACGTGATGACATTTTTTGGTCAAGATGGCAAAAGGCTAAGGTTGTGCTCTAAGGAAAATTGAAGAGAGCCCAGAGCTCTGAAACTGTGAAATCCAGGGTGTCCAGCATATGCTTTTTATGGAAAAACTAAAATTCCTAAGTCACCCATGAGCAAAAGTTAGGCGCTAGGGGCCACTGGGCGCTGCTAGACCACAGCCATGAAAGCGCAACCTCTGAGCGCTACCCTTGAAGACTCTTGTCTTCCCTTGTACTCCACTAGTTAGGGTACGTGGAAGAGGATTTGATTGGAAGAACTGAATATCGGGTTATCGATTAACCCTTTAACTCCCGAGATCGCAATAGTTATTCTCCTTACAGCCTGCCTTTCCATTCTTATAGTGGTAGTTCGAAGAATTTGGTATTGGATCAACTAGCAATCCCCTTGTTGATATTTTTGTTTATTCTCATCTTGTCTGCTTGATATTGTACTGATATTGTAAAGAGAAATTCTGTCCTGGTCATTCCTGGAAGTTAAAGGGTTAACCAACAATGGCGCAACATAACACAATTTTTCAGAATACAGAAAGCGAGCCCGGCTCGATCTTGACGATTTCTTAATTTTGAAAATCAATGCCGTTAATTGCTGACCTCAATGATGCTTGGTTAGTTATGTGACTTTTTACCTCGACCCTCGAAAAAATAATTTAGAATTAATAAATTATTTTAAAATAATTTAGCTCAGAATTCTTTCACGAGAAACATTATTTCGGATTTGGAAGAAGTTTGGCGAAGTTTAGAGGCTCTCGACCGTGAGCGTCAGTGAAGAAAGGGCAATAAACCGCCCCAACCCCCACTCCACCGCCAAAAAATGATAGCAATAATAATAATGATGATGATGATGATAACAATAATAATAAAAATAATAATAATAACTCCAGACAAAACAGAAAGCCTAAGGCTAATATTTTTCATTCATCTGACAGTGTTAAGACTCAAATGCTTCACGCAATCTCTTGAGATAAGTCGAAGTCGTCCATATAATTTACATGAGAAGTAAATGATTCCAAATAAATGTATTGTGACGCGTCTTCAAACTCATCAGGTTAGTTGCTTTTCGCATAATCACTTGTAAACGCTGGGCAATTGGTTTCTTGCAAAGTTCCTTATCGCCCTGCGCAAGTAACGCATGCGCCAGCAGTATATTAAAGGATTTAAGGAGGAATTGATATAAACGAAGACAGCTGACCAACTGAGAGTGAGGCGTACCAAGCTGAACGGCCACCGAACAATATTAACGACAATTCTTATGGAAAGATAGGGAGTGTAAAATAAACACAACCAGAGAAACACCAAGAACATATTGACTGCGGGCTTCCTTAATCGCGTTCTATTCAAAGTTTCTTGCATTTGAAATTGGGTGCGCCTTTGATGGCGTCGTGCGATTCTGAAAATGATGTGATAGACTATGGAAGTTGCAATCAGACTTGAACACACGATCGTAACGCAGAAAGACAGGTGTAATAAGTCCATTAAAACCGTCAAACCATATGCAACGCTTGCTATCCATATCAGAAATAAAACAATCAGAGTTCGCTTGACTGTTACCACGGCCCTGTATTTCAAATGAAGATGCAGAGCGAGAAATCTATCGACGCTTACTGCTGTTATTGTTAATAGCGTTGTTGACACAAAAATTGCTTGGGTTATTCTGTACGACGTCCATGCAGAGGTTAAGTATTCTTTTGTCACAACTTCAATGATCTGTAGGGTCACATACAATGGCTGCACGATAAGACCCACGCCAAAATCTGATGAGGCGAGCCCAAAGAGGAGAATATTGGAAGGGGAGTGCAAAGAAGGGGTTTTCCAAATCGCGCCAAGAACGAGACCGTTTCCCACCAAAGCTGTTAACGAGAATACTGCATTCACAACACATTTGATTATGAGATTGTTAAAGTCATCTGCCTGGCTAACTCTGATCTGCTGTTCATTGGTCTTGCTGTTCAAAGTTTGGTTAAACAAGCTCGTCATGGCAGTCTTCGGTCTAGGTTTTTTTCGTTGCAGTTTTTAGAGGAGATCGTCAACAAAGTTTCCTTCTGTCCGCCTTAAAAGGCCTCAACGTTTCTGAAAATACAGTAGACAGTATTTGATTTACATAGTTATAATTCGAGAACCAGTTATCTGAAAAGGTCAATATTCTTTAGCTGACTTTATCAGTTCTGTCCTTTCGTTGGCTTGATCTTTTGATTGCCATCGATAATGTGACACGTATTAACGTATTGCTTTAACACATTTTGAAAGAATAAAATAAATTTATTGGCCACATCTATCGTGAGTATTCAATTTTTTCTTTGCGGAAGCTTATTGACTTATATTGCTAATCTCTCCCGAATGTCTTGTCAAGGGCTCGTTCGTATCGGACTCAGCGTTATTTCAATAAGTGCTAATGGTATGATTGAACATAAGTCAACAATTAACTATTCGGAACTCTGGCGAGGAAACATGGATGGAAGTTCTCAAAAAGAAAAGTAAAGACAAGTTATATTATCAATCAAAAATTAAAATTAAGGCAATTGGATTTTAAAATGAAAATGAAGCAGTGGGAAATGTAACATGTGTCTTTATGAGGAACCCCCGCCTCCCACGGAAAAAAGGAGGCTATATTGTCCATCTTTCTTGTTTGATATTTTAATTCCATTTGCCACCCGGCTCGTTCATCCATTTATCTTTGAAAGCATGGAAGTAATGAAAAAAATATAATCTTTTTTTGTTATTTACGACTGGCTCAGTGCACGTTAATAATTGTTGGTAGATTTGAGGGTAAAAGTGATATTGATTCCTTATCGTCTCCCTCAGCCAGAAACTTGTAGAAATGTATTCCTGTAATATGCATCGCCCCATGGAAATGGAAATTCTGAGGCGCTTTTGTTTCTTAGACTTATGATTATTTTTTGTGTTTTGTGGCGATAAATTTTGCAGTTCAACATGAAATTTTGCTTGGAACTGGATTTAAACTATTTCCTTCCTTAACTAGCAGCACATAAACAAGGAGAGAGACATAAAATGTTTTAAATTTCTTGACAACTTGTTGTCGACGAGTAATCCATGGTAGAGCTCGATCCACGATTGATGATGTCGTAGGTGGCCTAATGCGAACAATACGAATTAAAACTAAATTCGGATTCTCCGATTCATTTGATTGAATGCAGTAAATTTTCGCGGCGTTAAATGTTGCCAAAGTTTATTCTTGCTGCTGGAGGAACTTGCGCAAATTCAAAAAACTTAAAGCCCGTAATCTACGTATGTTACACGCCATAATTTGACAGGAAAGAAGATAGCTATTAGAGACAAAAATACACAGTAATAATGACTTTTCACGCGCACATATCATGGGAGGCATATGCATGATTTGAAATTTATGCAGCTGTTATTTCAAGCGTTCTCATTGAGACTTAAGTTGCTGTATTTGTTGCAAATTTTAACTTGGTTCTCTTAATCAATCTGGGCTCTAATTTTCAAGATATGTAAGTAAACTTTCGAGAGCTAAAAACATCAGGCCTAGTGTAGAATTTAAGATTTTGTCTTGGGATCGATATACAATTGCCAAATATAACTTTACAAAGACAAATATGGAAACTAGGCAAGGATATACTAAATTGTTGCTGCATCTGATTTAACAAGACCTATACAATAATAGCAATATTATTTTAAAATCTGAAAGGATTTTAAAATACTCTATCACCTTGCATCAGGGCTAAACAATATCGCTCAGCATCTTTTAATTCACATCAGAACAAATTTTCTCTGATTCCAAATTGAGAAATTATTCCTGAGATGTTGAGTATTTATTCATTTTAATTACAGTAAACAGGTTTCAAACGGCAGGATGATTACAAAGCAAATAATTTCATAAAAAAAACTTAATCAACTTTCGGCGTCGAGTATATAGAGCCGCAAAAACTATGAAATTTAAGGTGCAAGATGGAAATTGTTAGTGGAATGAAAATGAGAAAGATTTTGAAAACGGAAACTTAGAATATCGAGCAATTGACGGATAAATTATTGAGTATTTTTTTGGCCGCGGCTTACTCTTTTAAGAGAGATCTTTAAACAGAGAACGCTTTTAAAGTAAACAAAAAGTTATTATAACTCCTGGTATTTGTAGAAAGCTAAGTCCGATTTACAATTTCTCTCAGCATTTTAAAATGAAAGCCTCGTCGGTTAAAGCCTTTTACCGCAGCAGGTTTTGTTCCTACCAATGTTTGGGATTAAAAGTCGTATGAGCAAATATTTATACTTTCTTAGGTATCAGAGAAAGTTGTAATTGTGTTTTTTGTCTGGGACTATAGGGCTTAATTACGTAACCTACTAAGCTATTGAATGGAGAGAATTGAAAGTTGATTGAATAAAAATACCAGGCCTGTTTGTAAACTTGAAATATCCAGTAGCTGAGAGAGATCAGAAACAAAGAAAAAATTTCTTGCACTATTCTTTGTCATTACTATTTTTGCTTTTCTACTCAATAGTATTCTTTTTTCAGTTGGAAATACTCCTCTCAAAGTATATAACATAGTAACGAGATGTTGAACTATTCTTACATGTGATCAAATACGTTTTCAACTTGCTAAATATTTCTTCATAATTATTCAGCATGGCATGAAAGCTAATAATCAGTATAACAAAACCGCATAACCTTTTACAGGTCCTGAAGATA